TATAATTTAAAGAATGTAATAGAGTGGAAGTTAAAAAAATGGACTGAATAGATCATAATAAATCATCTTCAATATATGAAACACTGTCAATGAGGGGGAAAATGTCAACAGAGATGTCTATTTGAGTTTTGCCACCATTCTGATACTACAAAGACTTTGTGAGTAAATATTTACAACAAAAGAAAAATGATCAAATACCAGTTTAAAACTAAGATAAATAAGTATTTACAGAAAGCCATATTTATTCTTAATATATAAAGATGTAGTGTATATATAATGTAACAGAAGCTATCTTCTTTACTTCTACACTCAATCCAACATATTATAAATTACCCAATATTTTCTTTCAGGGAAAACGTAAGCAGTAGATTTCCCCACTTATATAGATATTCCTCATGTGAGCAGCTATTAAAGTCATTGTCAGTCCTAATGACTGAGGGAAAAGACCCATAAATATTTGTGAAAATGTAAAATAATGACTCCATCTTGTGCTACATGGAAAATAAAGAAAAATTACTGACCTAGTAGCTCAAAACACCAGTGTTTGTGACCTGAGTGCTGTGGCAATTGTTCCTTCCCTATATTGGGTCAGAGCAGCCTGTAAGTTGCCTGAGTCTATGTCCATCCATGAAAGGCCCCTGTAGGCCATTCTGTCAGCCATAAATAGCTAGAGTATAGCAGTGTTCTGGCCACACTCATTTCTCTGGGAACAAACCTGATATTCATGAGGCACAAGGGGTTTTCAGGAGAGATGGTGCAGAGCCAGATATGCCAAACGTATACACCTGCCATAGAACTTTCTTCTACACTCGGGGAATTGTATGAGGGAGATCCACAGCACTTTTGTGGCCAGAGTCACAATCTGGTCCCTGCTTTCCTCTTGCTGTAGTGCTATGCAACAACCCTTTTGTAGCTTAAATTTCTCTTCACACTGGCCCAGCTGCATAGACTGGAGTGTTGGAGGGCAGAGTGGAGCTTCTACCTATCTCCTACTCCTGCCTTCCCACACACCTTTGCAGAAAGTGGAATAGCTTTCCAGCAAGGCTCTGGCAATGTAGAGAGCCAAGCCAAAGAGGCTCCTTATGTCCTGACTTCTATTCCTGGGAATGCAGTCTCATGACTGGGCACTGATTATTATTTTTCATTCTTGTTGAGTTTTAATTTGATGAATTATATTTTTCCATTACCACAAACTCTATAGTAACAAGTTTTAACAAAAGGGAATGCTTCCCCTCCATGTTGGGTCCTAATTACTGTGGTGTTAGCAAGCATGCCGCTATAAGCTTTATTCTCTTAAAAAGCCACAGCACTAATTAGGAGATCTAACTGAACTACATTGCTCTGCAGAGGGGCTAAATCTAGCAACTCACATACATTGGTCTATAATCCTGCCCCAACAATCTTACACCTCTGAGCAATTCCATTAAATATAAATGAAATTTCATATATTTTTCTATGCCTTTCTTAAAAGTGCTACATGGAAAATAATGAATTCCAAGCTCTGAATGAATTCCTGTGTACTCCAACCTGCCCGCATTTTAGATTGTGTCC